TAGATAGATTGATGGATAGATGGACAGAATGATAGAATGATAGAACAATGGATAGATAGATAGATAGATAGATAGATAGATAGTCGCTGCCATTTTGACCCCATTCTTTCAGTCTCAACTTTCTTTTCTGCTACTTAAAATATAATAAATAAAAAACAAGGAAAGTATTTTCTCGTATGTATGCTCAGTGAACCATAAATTATTTTCTACTGTGACGTTCCTTCAGGCGCATACTAATTCAATTAACGTTAATCCGCATCAAAATCCTGAGATAACCATTCGTCAAACGGTGACCTCTTTCCTCGCCTTTTATTCATTGCCAATGGAACAGTGTAATTAGAACACCTTTGGGACGTTGCCCGTGGTAACCTCTGATCACAGCCCCACACACACACACACAATAAGTGATGCGTCCTCTGGGGGCTTTCTGGCCTTGCTGCAGTGGGTGGTAGAAGCTCTGGCTATTGATTTGAACGCTGGGCTGATGAATCTCAAGGGAACCAATAAAAATAATTACGAAGAAGATCATCAAAGCTTCCCAGCCTTCTGCTTTGCACATGAATAAATGCGTGGCAGAGCTAATAGAAGAGCGGTGGAGGTGGCATACGTGGTCATCTGTGCCCAGAAGAAAATTTTATTGTTCTGAGGTTTTATTGCTCTTTCATGGTTCTCAGTTATGTTTCTTTGAAGTATCAGATGTTTCTCCTAAAAACCCTTGGGGAAAATTTTAAATGTAGAGCTGTATATTTATGTAGAGAAGCTTAGATAATTTGGTAACTGATCTGAACAGAGTTTGAGATCTTTTCTGAAACTCTTGAGTAGATGTGTGTGATTTCCTGGATCTCAGGAGAGTTGTGATAGTCTCCATTTGATCTCATTTGTGTCTCAGAGAAACAGTTTGCGATTAAAGACGTCCTGTTTGTGGGTGAGGAGATGCTATGACTCTTATAGCGAGGAGATGAAGATAACTTTATGGAAATGTGCTGTAGATGGCTCAGTAGCAGGCTCAGAAACAAAAAAAAAACAACATTTCAAACTTTTTCTGTCCTCCACCATCCATTAAGTGGTGGCACAATATGTACAAGGATGAAATTAGTCCTCTCGCCATGCAGGAGACAAGAGGGAGGTTCTGCAAGTGAGCTATTGTTCTTAACCAGCCTGTAAACAATGACTAACATGACAGTTCACCCCCTCTAGGCTTTCTCATCCATAGAAAACACATCCTCTTCCTCGGCTGACTCTGTAGGCTGCATATGACAAGGAGGAGGAGAGGAAGACAGGCTTTAGGAAGCTTAGATGAGGTGGAGGTAGATTATGCAATTTCCATTTTTCTTTTTTTCCTAGTAAAATCTACTTTCTGGAAAATGGATGGATATAAATTGCATCAGTGCGTTACATGTCGTATCAAGAATGATTATGAATGCATGAATCAAACTCGATTGGAATGTCGACAGTTTCTCACACGGATTTCCACGCATCATGTGTGTGTTCCCCAGTCCAAATGTGCGTGCATTTGCATATATGCCTTTGTGTGTGTGGGCTGGCTGGGGGGTCTAAGGGAAGAGGAAATGGTTCTTTGAACTGTCGTATCAAGAATGATTATGAATGCATGAATCAAACTCGATTGGGTGTCTGCCTGTATGATTGACCCGGTTATAGTGGACACTATCAAAACAGGTTTTACAATTTCAAGAGTGGAAAACAGCAATATTTGCCTGTTGTATATCTGTAGAGGTCAAAAAACAGCATTGGGCTTTCTAAATATATAGCATAATAAAAATTAAAGCAGTATTTTTCTTGCTCAATACTAGTTAAGTTAGTAGAATCATGCTGGATGGCGTGTCTAAGAGAAGAAGAAATAGTTCTTTGAACGGTGTGCGCTCAGAGACATAGTAAAGAGCACTCTCCCAGGCGGCCAAGAGCACTTGATTGTACAACAAGCAATGATCGCATTAAGAGCTTGGGCATTGGGCTTTCAAAATATATAGCATAATAAAAATTAAAGCAGTATTTTTCTTGCTCAATACTAGTTAAGTTAGTAGAATCACTACTTTTAGTTAGTTACCACCCAGTACCTAGTCAAAAAGAATGGGCTCCATTTATGCTATGGTGTGAATAATATTATCTCTTGTATCTTTTTTTACATTTCCTTCTGTTCCTCACTTAACAGGGAAAAGCACAATTTTAGAAGCATCTGCTGAGCAAAATTTCTCCCTGGATAAAAAGACAAAAGAAAAAAATACAGCAAGCAGATGGCGCCTCAAGGTTCAGATGATTAGAGGTTGCAGATTGGAATACAAATTGGATTAAAAGAAATTAGACTAATAAAAATCCAATCGCATGGCAAGTGCAAGCATATTCACCTCAGTCATGTAAAAGTCTCTGCCAATGGCTGTCGATTAGAAGCTAAACAGATGCTCCAGTGAGATAGCAGTTAATATATGTGTGTGTATGTGCGTTCTTGGCAAACATGGTCCCCCCATCATCCTCTTATCTCGACCCACCCCATTTATCAATGTCATAATGTTAATTAGTGGTTTGTTCATTTAGTGACTTACAATATCAAAATGAACTTGTTTCTGATTGCTGAAAGCGGGACATAAACCTCAATCAGAAACAAAATGTTATAAACATTCGTGTTCATTCATTAAAAATTGGTGTGTGTGTGTAAATCAATTCTGAATTTCATTAGATCCAGAAGAACATGCATGGATACACCAAGGTTGCATCAGTGTTCCAACCTTAAATGAGTTTGACACCTCAGGTTTTGAGGGATGCAGACTGCCAAGAGGGAGGGAGAAGGAGAAATACGAGAAGCAGTGAGAGAGAGCAAAATCAGTGTATCTGCAAACTTCAGCAGAGCTCGGTTTCATAGTATGCAGCACAAGTTAACTTAAACATGAAACCTGGAGGGTACAGGATAAGATCTTGCCCTGTCAGTAGCAATTCCCTTGTGTGACCCCCAAGTCTGCTCTGGGTCCTGTGTGTGGCCCCACTTAGACAGCAGACAGCTGGAATGATCACTAATCAATGAGAGGGAAATGGCAGGAATTAGCACAAATTAGGTGAAGTGGGAGTCCTCGTTCTCTTTAATTGAGTCCGTACTGCACTGCGAGAGAGAACGAACCTTTAGAGCACACTAAGACTCAGCAAAATATATTTGCATACAAACAAACAAGCTTACTTCTCTGCTATGCTGTGTCCTGGTCCAACTGGGAAGAGACAGCATGGGTATCACATTTAGAAGTGATCCTAAACACCCTAAACAAATGCTCTTTTTTACTGCAGTTCCATACATCAGCAACCGAAAGAGTTTAGCACCGCAGTGAACTCTTGTACAGCACTGCACACCTGCCATCCCGAGAGAGGACACGGCCACCTTCAGCTCAAGCTAGCTGCTGCTGCTGGGGCTCTCATAGCGTAGGAGGTCCATTCTGCGCTCTGCAGTGGTTTATGTTGAACAAACGGCTAGCGAGCAGCTGTTTTAGCAGTGCTAAACAAGCAAAGCTGCACAGAGCTGTGTGCTGATCATGCTAGCATGCTACTCTCTCGGGAGGTTTAGCCATGAACAAACATATTGTGCTTCATTTGTAGATGTATCTTCTTGGTCTTGTTGATAATCTTGCATAATGCTCTTTTTTTTAGATTTCTCTCTATGAAACTTGGTCATTATGGGGCCTACAATGTATGTGCTAGCTGCTGCTGCTGGGGCTCTCATAGCGTAGGAGGTCCGTTCTGCACTCTGCAGTGGTTTATGTTGAACAAACGGCTAGCGAGCAGCTGTTTTAGCAGTGCTAAACAAGCAAAGCTGCACAGAGCTGTGTGCTGATCATGCTAGCATGCTACTCTCTCGGGAGGTTTAGCCACGAACAAACATATTGTGCTTCATTTGTAGATGTATCTTCTTGGTCTTGTTGATAATCTTGCATAATGCTCTTAGATTTCTCTCTATGAAACTTGGTCATTATGGGGCCTACAACGTATGTTTTTGGTCCCCACAAAGACGAACAATCACATGCTAAAATCATATCCCCTTCCCTTTTGCAGTCACTCCTAGTTTTAAGCGATTCCAATCCCTGAAAGAAGTCAAAAATAATAATTTACAATCTCAAGGGTGTTTCCAAGCTAGCCATGTGCTATTGAAGCATGTAAAGCTTACAGCATTCATCTGATGGTAGCACTAGCGGCTCGGGCTTAGCATCTCTTTTTGGCTGGGTTTTGGGGGGATCAGGGACTGCTTTTGTCCCTCTTTGGCCCGTGCCTTAGTGATGCAAATGCAGGGTGGCCTCTGGCTCCTTATCGCTAGGGTTAAGGCTCACACTGCTCTTTCCGCAATCTATTATCATAAGGGCCAGACTCCTAGCGTGGGCTGCTAGCGTTATCCATACCAAATGCAGGGCCATGCAGGGGAACGTTCAGGGGATTAGCATTTTAACACAGTGTGAGTCTAAACCCCTGAACCTCTCTGTCACAGAGGGTAAGTCCCCAATGGCTTGCCAGCTCACTATGTGGCACCCTAAATTAGTGTACTGGATCAGAGAGCTGGGTTGTGTTTTTGACATTGCTTTTCTTGGCTCAGAAACATTGCTTTTGTATGCTCAGTGAACAACTGGCAGTAGAGATAAAGGATTATTTTAAGGAAGTAAGAAAGATTTTCCCAACTCAAACATTACTTTTTCTAGCTTAAAGGTTCTTTAGAGATTCAAAAGGTTAGATTGTGATTGCCAAGACCAGGGGTGTCCAGTCCTGCTCCTGGAGGGCAACTGTCCTGAAGAGTTTAGCTCCAACCCCAGTTAAACACACTTCAACCTAATCAAGGTTTTCAGGAAGACTAAAAGCTTACAGAAATTTTTGCTGGCATAAAATTGAGCTAAACTCTGTATGACTTTGGCCTAATAGGAGCAGGATTTTACACAGCTGGCTAAGACTAATGTTAATTGGTTCGTTACATAAATGTAAGGTTGGACCTGACAAGTCTTTCTCTTTCTCTGTTTTCCTAGGATCCCGTCTACGGCAGGAAGATTCTCCACCTCGGATCGTAGAACACCCCTCCGATCTGATTGTTTCCAAGGGCGAACCAGCCACCCTAAACTGCAAGGCGGAGGGGCGGCCCACCCCTACCGTAGAGTGGTACAAGGATGGAGAACGAGTTGAAACCGATAAAGATGACCCTCGATCACACCGCATGCTCCTGCCCAGCGGCTCGCTCTTCTTCCTGCGTATCGTACATGGCCGTCGAAGCAAACCTGACGAGGGGGCGTATGTTTGTGTGGCACGCAATTACTTGGGGGAAGCAGTCAGTCGAAACGCCTCACTGGAAGTAGCATGTAAGTATGCGATTTCTTTAATTATTGTCTTGAGTCACAGTAACAATCAGTGTTGGAGAACTTGTTTTTTCCATGAACCCTGTGGACCAGGCTGCACCTTAATGTTCCTAAGCGTTCAATTGCACAATTCTGCTTTTGGAATACCACAACGTTTGCCGCATCAAATTGTGATTTGGTATTGCATCTGACTGATTTTGGAAAAGGCCTGAATTCCCTAGTTCCAAAACAATCAGTAGGAATGATTTTGCAGGCTTCTGACTTTAATTAGCTCTACATATGTTTTAGCAAATCTTAGATATATCAGTCTGTTTCGGTACAATCTGCCAGGCTTGTAGTTTTTCCTTCTGACTGAGAAATGAAAATGATAGGGCATGCCAAGGAAGTGCAAAGCAATAGACTCAGATGAAAGAGCATGCTAGGTGTGGAAGGAGGGTGTAGACACACTACACAGGAAGGCAGAATCTGGGAGGGGGGCTTATTGACAACCTGTAGATGGGTTCTGCTTTGAAGATGGGTCTCTGTTGGGTTGACTTGCATTTTCAGAGAGAGCACATCCTCTGGGATCAAATCCCCAAGCTAATCAGAGACCATTATGAGTGACAGCTAACCTGTCCTCATTTGCTTTTCTACTAGACAACGAGTATGCTATTTTAATCATAGGCCTTTTTGCTAAATCATTGCTGATTAATGGACTGTTGTAGCCAAGAAACTCTTTGCCAGGCAGACCTTGTGCCTATTGTCTTGGGAGTTTGTGATCTTTGTGATCAGTGAATACATTTCAGCATCTGAAGGCATAAAAGCTAGCTACACTAGCTTAGCAGAAATGCCAAAGCAAAAGTCATTAGAGATTAAGGAGTATTGGTCTTATTTCACTGGGTTTGTAGTCTAGACCTGAAGTCTAAGTGAGCCGCTTGAAGTCTGTTTCAACCCCGAGCTGATCAATACTGCGGCCTCTCTTATGCATTGTTATGAAAATAGGAGCGATCCATCATGGAATAAGGATATGATGATAAATATTAAATGAATGGATAACTAAATTGGCTCTGTGTGCTGCCGCCAAGACCCCATGCAGTAATGAGAGTGTGTGTTTGTGTGTTTAGCTGTTGGAAAGGGTAACTCTAGATGAAGGGATTGTGGGAAGGTTTTGAGAGTCAGTAAATTTTGAATGCTGCTGCATTTTCTATTTTTAACCTGTAATTGATGATACAGGACGGTGATTTGGGTTAAAGGAGATGATGTTGGCGTTTAGTTTTTGCAAAGGGTACTTTCGAGCTAGCAATTGCGGGAAGCTTTTCAGTAATATTTTTGAATAAATGTTCTATTTTTAACCTGTAATTGATGATACACAACTGCGTTTCGGGTTATAGGGTATATATAGAAGGGTATAAAGGCAGTTTGTGTGCGTTTTCACTCATGTAGCTGGCAGGGGGTGTGTGTTTTCTCTGATCCTCTCAGCTCTTCCGAGGTGGTGGTGGCGGCCCCCAGGTGCTAACTGTGTGACAGCAGCTTGATCTATCGATCGCACTAAGAGGGGTCTCCTCGCCTAAATAAAAATTCATGAAAAATTGATGAAGTCCCCAATTATTCCTTTTTTTTCTTGTATCTCTCTTTCACTTCCCCCTCTCTGTTCTCGCTAGCTCTCTACGTTTCCAGCATGGTGCTAAGTCAGATGGTTGTCTGAAACCTAATCTAAAAGGGCACTGTTTTGTGAATGAAGGTAACTTGTAAGGAAACAAGACACTTGTTAGGTTTCCAAGACGCTATAACATCGTCTAATTATCCAAAACAATATTCATACATAACCAAGCAAATTTTAAGTAGTCAAATTTTGATTCAAATAAATATCATCAGACACTATTTTTATTCTTTCAACCAGATATTGGTATGCTTCCTACCTCCATATACAGTCTGCAAAGGCAGCATTTTTCAGGTTTAGACACAGTCTGAGTTGACTAAAAGAGTTAAAGTGAGCTGTAGGATGTTTTATGACTTTCAGGTGAGAGGTGAAGGGTCAGAAGTTTAGCGGGACAGCGGATACTAAACCTACAGCAGGAAAGACCAAGAACTATATTTAAACGAGACCCCTCAGCTGTGTTACGTTACACAATTTCCACTCATAAAACTTCTCTTTACTGGTGAGTGATCACAGAAGTGAAGCCAATCTAAACCGATACAGCTCATGTATCGCTCCAAGCAAAATATGTTTCATCTGTCACATCGTAGAAATATTCTGAAGCGGTGCTGTTTTCTCAAGAAGTAAATGTTGATTTTATAGCCAGCTGTGTATATCTGATCTATATGAAATACTCCCAGACTCACATACGTATAAAACGTTCACCTCCAAAACAAACAGCTGGCCTTCAGTGACAAACTGAAAAATGTGGCGAATGTTCCAGACTGTTTTGCGACGTTCGTTTTTGGGGTTCCGACTCTGGTTACATGCCCAGTACTTTTTCATCTTTGTGTCACAAGTCGTCTCCTGTTGCGATATATGGTTCCGTCTCTCTTCCTCCTTCTCGTATGTGGTCAATCCGCACCCCTGCAAGCTGAGTGAATGGCTCTGTTGAAACAGATTGCAGGCAGGCGTTCGCCGTGGACCACTGAAGCCGCCTGATCAGAGAGACCCCAAGCTGGGCTGCAGGAAGCAGAGAGAGGCCTGTGAAAGGAGCTCGCTGCATTATTAATAACGAGGCAGATTGCAAGGAGGTGTCCGCTGAAGCAGGATTATCTCAAACGCTAGTCTTTAACAATTGACCATTAGTAATGCCACAAAGAAGATACACAGATCTTGTTACGGATGTTTGTGTCCTAGAGAGTTTAAAGCAAATCTGCAAAAGGGTTGATTTTGTCCCTATGATGAGCAAGGCACTTATCTGTCTCAACACAATTCTTTGTCTCATGTAAACTTATTTCTGTGGGGTTTAGCGCTTTCACCTCTTAGAATGGTCAATTTCTTCATTTAAAGGTACCGAACATGTCTTTCCACTTTCCTCAACATTAATGAATCCCTTTCCTGTCATTTATATGGTCTTAATTAGAGCAGAAGAATAGAAGAGTGAAAAAGGTGCTGACAGGCCACAGGGAACGATTGGCTGAATCCCAATCTACTTTAGCCTAAAGGCACATACTTCGCTGGTAATGCATACATGCTTGAAATATATTAAGTACATATATGGCTTTTTTTTTGTTAGTATTACAGTGTTTACGTTTCAGAGAAATCAACTTCCTGTGTGAATGGCATTCTTATAATTGTCTCTGCATGTTAAGCTGGGCATCATTTTTTAGCGTTTTGGCTAACAAAGATGTATTTAAGAACTGCTATGGCAGTTTCGGCATCAAATTGTTCATTTATTTTTTCCTAAAACTGAATAAGAATAAGAGCACAAGGGGTTGTGGGAAATATTAACCTACTTAGCATACACTAACAAACTTTGCTAAACTAGATAACACTGTTTACCATTTATTGTGTACATGTACATGTTTGATATACAGTGGGACACACAAATCTTAATTTTACATACTATATAGGAAAGATAGAAAGTGAATTTGGATTGTTATCTTGAAATTAGCTTTATTTGGCTTTATCTTTTTATTATGTCTCTCAGAAAAGGTTTTATATACTATTTACTCTGTCTCTCTATGATGTATATGATGGATACATTTCGGTCTAGGCCGCACCCTGTGGCACTCCTTGCTTCTGGGAAAGATTTTCTGTTCTTTTGTTGCTATTTTTCTTTCTCTGTCTTTATGTCTCTCTCCCACTCTCTCTTTCTGTTTCTCTCTCATGGTCTTTCTCTTCCTGGGATAAACTGGGTCAATGAGCAGGTTCATAAATCATTGTGAAGACTTTGTCAGACTGAGGCAAGACCTGCTTTGAATAAATTTGCCAAAGTGGTGAAATCTTTGGTCGTAGCTTGTGTACGGGCGCTTTGTGACAAGCCACACCTGGGGCGCACAGTCATCCAGGAAGATGTTAATTAGCCCCTGTATCTCTTCTCAGGTGGAGAGGTGTGTGCATTATAAATCCGAGGACAGCAAACTTGTTGAACATGGGGGCATTAATTAAGCGTAGAAGGTGTGAATGTGTGCGTGTTTGTGTCTGCTAATGGTCCGCACTAATAACAATGTGAAAGCGTGCATATACTTTGAATCTTTGCGACAAAAAGTGCTGTTTCATTCACTTGTAACCTTTAAAAAGTATGCAAATGAGGGAAGGGTGAAACAGATGTCATTGCTGGATTGTTAAAAGGCCACCAGCCTGGGATTGGCTGGCGTTTTTGAAAAGGTTCTTTTGATACGCTTCAGCGTGGCACTTCAGCAATTAAGAGTATCGTTTGGTAGCATTTGGAACTGGTAAGATGAAGTAATTAGTGGAAAAATTATGCTTTCTCGTGTTAAGCTTTTCTGGTGCGTCTCAAGCTGTTGGTCTGTGTGTCCGGCATTAGTAAAATCTAATAAAAGAGGATGAAAATAATTGGACACACACAGCTAGTAGGGGTGGGCGGTATGATCAAAATCTTATATCACGTTATGAGAAATTATATATTATGGTAACAATATATACACTACCATTCAAAAGTTTGAGGTCAGTAAGATTTTTCTTAAAGAAAATTAATATTTCTAAATTAAATTGATCAAATGTGACAATATAGACATTTATGATGCTGCAAAAGATTTATATTTCAAATGAATGCTTTTCCTTTGAACTTTCTATTCATCAAAGGATCTTGAAAAAAAGATCATGGTTTAGATAAAAATATTAAGCAGCACAATAACATTGATAATATAAGAAGAAATGCTTATTAAGCAGCATATTAGAATGATTTCTTAAGGATCATTAAGGATTTCTTTTTTTCCTTTTTTTTTTTCCTCGCATGTAAATAACATAAAGCTGCACTTCCCACTAACAGTATAGCAAAATATCCACTGGTTGACACTGTTCTACTGTAGTGTGGTGTATGCCATCATACCACCCATCCCTAACATCTAGACTACAAACG